CTGACCCCACTTCAATGGGCCACAAATGTCAACAGCTAAACAATGCGCTTCTGGATCATCATGTCTTCTATGCGGCCTTTGTCTCGCTGCTGACCTCTGGCAAACCACGCAATCGCGCCGAAACGGCACATGTCCATTGTCAACGTGGGCAGTCCACGACAACTTCTTCAGTCGAACTTCTTTTCCTTCTACTTCCTCTATCAAAAGCCTTGCAACTTCATGCATCATCCCAGGAGCCCACCTCGAGAGCTTACTGGAATCCAGTTCTGGACCTTGTTCTCTGCTCCTCCCACCATGTACTAGTGGGTCTGGTGGTTGAAACCCAAGGTTTGTTCCGCATGTTGTTGGCTTTCTCGCTTCACCTCCAAAATCTCCTTGGTAAAACGTCACTTCTTCCATCTGGTAGTAGTGCTTGAACAGCAACCATGTTCGATTTCTCCACCACGAAGCGCATTCTGGACACCACTCCGGTGCTGCTGGCTGCTCCAACAGAAATCCAACCTTGGCCTTCAAACACCTCTTGCTTCTTTCTTTCACCATTGCATCTCTCGCTATCTGTGCAACCATGTACAGGGTCAGCATCCTCAGCATCAATGCATCGTCCTGCAACAACTTTCCTTGTTCATCAGGGGGAGCATCTGGAAGTCCCCAAGGGTATCCCGCCGTCCTCGATGGTCCTGGGAAGCCTTCTCTTGGTGTGTGTCGCAGCACTGAACGTGTGCGGCAATTTGGGCCACCAACCACTGCATCAATGGCTCCTAGCATTGCCAGCTTGAGGAGGGTACTGTACATCCCTCCAATTCTCAACATGTCATGATGTGCTCCTCTCTTCACGTCTATTTCGATCAACCTCGTGCCATCACCTCCCTTCTCCAAGTAGGCTCTCTTCAGAGTCAGGCCTTCTTCTGGCCCGGCGTACAAATGTACAGTGACCCCTTGTTCAATCCATCGTCTCCTGGTTCTTCTGCTGGCCTTCAAAAGCGAAAGGTCTTCGGCCGGCACTTCCACTAGGTTGTCCTTGACAAGTGAGGGTATTGAGGCCAGTACTGGATGTTTCTCTACCAACTCAGCCATCCATTCTGCGCCCCAACATGCATCATCATATGCCACTTTTTTCATGCTTCGAAGCGACATCATTCCTTCAAGTTCATCCACCATCTTTTCCGCTTCTGCCTGGGTGATCTGTGGACATCCTTCTTCGACCTCCACTGCTATCTGTCCCCTGATGGGGTGGAAAAGAAAGCATTCATCATCTTTCCACTCAAAGCTGCATCCCAGTTCTCGTACTAGACGACCAACTGGTAGTATCGGTTCCATCCCTGGTTCTTCATGTACCAGGGTTCCTCCATCCGTCATCCACATTGTCTTTGAACCTCCAGCTGCAAGGTTCACTCTCACTTTCTTGTACTCTTTGCCCTCAACCAGGTTCTCATCACTCCTCTTGGACCTCAGAGCGTGAGTGGCTCCAGTATCCAGCAACGCTTTCTTGCCGAACTTGACTCGGGCAACCATGGCAGTCTTCATCATATTGATTCTAGGCTTCCACGATCCGTCCTGAATCTGTTGCAACTCCTTCTGTAGCTCCAGCATCCGTCCTTTGGTCATTTCTTCCCTGGTCTTTGTAGGCTTTTCTTCAACTCCCATGCTCTTCAGCATCTTCGAAGCTTCTTCCATGACGCTTCGCAGAGAGTCTCCTCCAACACTAGCAACTTCTTCTTTGGTGGTCTCAGCCTCCTTTGTTGCCACTGCTGGGGCCTCAGCAGGGGCAGGGCTCTTATTGGCGGTTTTGTTGGGGGCCTCAGCCTCCTTTTCCACTTTCTGCACCTTTGGGTCTTTTTGAATGTCCTTGCGTGGACACTCCCTCGCAAAATGCTTGGTGGATCCGCACACATAGCACCTTTTCTCCCCTGGCTCTACATTGTGTCCCCAAGTGCAAGCTGCACCACGTCTGCAACCATCCTCCTGATGAAAGAACTTGCATTCCTTCACATTCTTTTTCACATTCTTGTCCTCTGTGCTCCCACTGCTTGCGGCGTTCAACTGCTTCACCTGGCTGGTTGTAGCTGTCGCTCTTTCTGCATTAGCCACCTTTGACCTTTTCTCCAAGTGGACCAGTTGCTCCAGTTCCGACAGTAGGTGTTCAGAGTACGTCCTCACAGTTTGATGGTTTGGAATTGTATCCAATTGGAGTGTGTTTCTGACAAGTGAGGTTCTGAAAGCTAGTTCTGGGTTGTTGTTCAGCAGCTTCTTCATCAACTTTGTCAGACCACGCAAAAGTATAGTGGAATCGGGTAAGCATAACCCGACATCCTGAGCTCTTCTCAACCATCGCAACCACTTCCGAAGACTTTGGACTCCAGTCACTGCGTTTCCTGCTTCGCCAGGATCCTCCAACTGACGCAGAATCACAGTTCGTTCATGTAGTCCACCAGGCTGGTAGATGGTCATCAACTTGGCAATCACCTTCACTGGAGAAAGTGACTTGGTAGCAACAAGCTCTTCTCTCACTCCAGTGGGTATGGCATCCATGAGCATGGAAACAGCTCGGCGTTCCACTCGAACCCACTTCGTCTTCTTCAGTTCTTCAGAGGCCTCGATCTCAAAGCTTGTTCTTTGAAGTGGTCGGAGCTTCACATACTCAGAGTACCATGCGCTGCATTCATCCAGCACAAGTCGCCACCAAACATGCGAACTGTCTGACAGATCCGTCATCACCGGCTCTATCATGGTCAACCAGTCGGCATAGTCAATGGGGGCCGTTTCGGTCGGCTCCTGGAGGGTCTGCAACTTGTTCACTCCAGGTTTGACCGCTTCCATCTTTTCTCCATCATCTTTACCTTGCTGACTTTCCAGAAGGTGCAACATCATCTTAGACAGGACATCAACCTGCCTTTGCATTCTTCCATCATCAGCTGGCTCCAACGCATTTCCTTGGTTCTTCCTGGCATCTCCTCCGGTCCCTTTCTCACCTGCTTCCTTCTTTGGAACATCTCTTTCTTTCTGTCGTGCTCCTTCTGAAGGTTGATGAGATTCCCAAGGTCCTCGAAGGTCTCGTCCAGGAGGTGGCTTCTTCACTGAACCCACCGCAGCATCCATCACCTTTTGCAATTCATCATATTGCTCCATCGGTGTCAACTCGTACAGCCTTCTCCTCTCGGATTCCAAGTCATTCTCTGTCTTCACAACCCGGTCTTCAGCTGCACGGCTTCCTTGCTGTTGGCTTTCAGGAGTCTGAAACCCTTCCACTTCAGGCTTAGCCTTTCTTCCTCCTTCGCCATTTGGCACCTCTACCTCAGAGGTCTTTCTTTCTTCCTTCTCCCTCAGCTTTTCTTTCAGCAACTCCTGTTCCATCTTCAGCTGCATGTTCTCTTGCTGCAACATGAAGAAGTACTGCATCATCTGCTGCTGATAAATCACTGAGGGCGTACCAGCAGGCATCGCTGCAGGTCTTTCTGCAGGTAGAAACTTCGGTCTTTCCAACTGCACATCTTCCAAAGCTAAACCTGAAGACCTGGCTTCATCCTCTATTCCTAGCTGCGTCCTCTGTGGACTTCCATACAACAGAGGTGCTCTATTGTGCAGTTCTTCAAACTGCCTCACTTGTTCTTCGGTGAACAGCGGCTCTAGCTCTTTTTTGGGTTCTTCATTCTCTACATCTTTCTTTTCATCTTCAAGTTCCAACATTTGAGGGTTTTGAGGTCCATAACTCACAGGTCTCCCAGTTGGCCCAAGCATCTCCTCTTCTGGCCTTTCTTCGCCTGATCGGTCAGCTTCAGGACTTCCACTGGCTCTCCTGCGCATCATCATGGCTCCTCAGCAGCGGCTAACGACAGGTTGGGCTCATAACCTGCACGCAGGTCAGCCCTGAACCACAAAGCGGCTATGCCGTCTCGATTTGGCGTGTCATCCTGTGCAGGTGGCTGTGCTAATCTTCTCTGACTTTCTCAGCAAGACTGAAACCTACACAACTGAACATGCTGTTTCACGTTTCAAATTGGAGTGTCTGACATCCATGCAATCTTAGATTGGGATTTTCCATTATAATCCACTTGGGGATACCCCCATTTATGGACACCCACAAATGGCAAACTTGACCCCAAGAAGGACAGTGCCGCGGCAGCGCAGAATGAAATCGCTGCTACATTGTCAAGCCCAGCGCCGCGGCGCAGTGCCGCTTGTGGTTCACCCTGCTCGGTCATGAACACAGCGCTGCACTGTTGGCAGTTCATGGCTGTGCGTTGTTGCTAGTCTGGTGCTGTCACTTTGGTGGTGATGGCGGCAGTTTTCTTTTTAGGGAACATTGTTAAGAGCGTGCTGGTCAGGTGCCGTTCCAGCAGCGAAGGTTGAAGAAACTACGAAAACACAAAACGAACACTGCTTCAAGATTTTGGATTATACCAGCGAGGATTCAAACGAGGAAGACTCCTGTTTGATCCAAAAGCAATGGAGACATTGTCCGGAACAATCGAAGAAATGGGTGACAAAAAGGATGAACGACTCAGTCGATGCATTTGAGGCCACATGGATCCACATGGCACTTGCCAAGAGGGTAGTGATCCTGAAACTGGACATGGACACCCACCAAGTGTAGACACAGGGAAACCATGGGAAGATCAACATTTGGAGCATGGTTGTTTCCTGAGTCATGGGGGTACCCCAAAAACGCTGGATGGAAAATTTCAGGGAAAACCCATCTATAAATGGATGATAACTGAGGGTACATTCCTATTCAGGAAACCTCCACATTGTTATCCTGCGACAGCTGCATTCAATCTGGACGACCGTGCGTTGCCCCATACTGTGGAGATGACCAGGACGCATTTTTCATGGACATGTTCCTCCTATTATCACGATTCCTATTCATATAGTTCGGATTTTTCCTACTTAGTTGCGTCCAGAGTTTGGGCACTGGTTAATACATGATGTCGAAGCCATCGTAGCTGGATTGCAAGGGAGATATAGCACGATATAGCCCACTTTTGGTCACCCCTGAACTAATTTCATGGCTGCCGAGGCCGAAAAGAATTCGCCAATCGCCAACTCTCTTTTGAGAGGCGAAACTCTGCTTCCAGTCCTTCGATTAGTGCCACTCCGGTGGACAATTCCAATCTGCGGGCTCTGGCGAGCGATCCGTAGACCAGCGGGAGGTGCCTCGTGTAGCCGGTCGAGCGGTGGATCAGCGCCGACTGGATGAACGTGAGCCCAAGCCCAAGCCCTCGCAACTTCGAACTCGAATAAAGCGCACCCGTGAAGATGCCCTGCTCCCGTTTGTCAAAATTGGCACGTCCACAAGCTTTGCGGCGTAGGCAATAAGTGCAATGATCTTCCCTGCGGAAGAAAAAAACTCCGCTACGTAGGGTGTTGTCAAGACACCAGCTGCGTACCCCAAAAATGATATCTATGGAATTCTGGGTACATGTCGACTCAGAACCGTTTAGATGTGGTTCCATTACCATTTCTGCTGGAGACATCCGCATATAGGGTAGTCAAAACTCTGGTAACATTCTGTTCACATCAAAATCTAGCTGCTTGTTGTAGATGTTCATCCCCCCATTCATACGGGAATGCCATAGGTCACTTCTCCCATCCGTAAATATCACCAGTTCTATTTTCAACTCCCCATCTCTGTTTTTAAAGCCAAAATCTACGCCTTTCTTATTATCTAATATGTAAATATGCATTATATAATAAACATATATATAACCTATTATATATACATGTAAAACCTGTTATACATAATATATTACACAATATGTATACATAGTAAATTACATAATATATATAAAATATAATACATAATGTAAATATATAATATTATAAAATGATATATATATATATAATGTAGTATAATATAATACATATATATAATATGATATAATATAGTAAACCATAATAAAATATAATATAACATAATATAATATAATATAATAGAATAGAATATTATATAATATTAAAGAATATTAAATAGTATCATATAATATAAGATAAAAAACACAGCCAGTCAGCGTTGTAGTTTAACCAGGATCCAGCACAACGTCGTGTTTTTACAATAAAACATATAATAAATAATATATAACATATAATAGATAAATTTTAACATATAATATATAATGTATAATGTAAAACATTTAACAAATAACATATCATACATAATATATGCTATATAATCTAATTAAAAAATAATATATAATATAAAAACATATATATAATGTAAAATCTAAAATTATGTTATATAAAACAAAATGTATAATCTATAATATAAAATATAAACCATATAATATATAATGTAAAAAGTATATTATATAACATATTACATATAACATAAAATATATAAATTAATATGAAATAAATACTAAATAATATATAATATATAAAAAAAAATATTAATATTAATATAAAACATATAACATATAATGTAAAATCTACAATCTATAATCTATAATTTAATATAAAATAAATAATACATGACATAGTATATAATATATAATATATAATATATAATAACTAATATATAATATATAATATTTAATATATTATATAGAATAAATAAAATATAATATACTAGATATTATATAGAATACTAAATATATAATACATAATGTACAATATAAAACATAATAAAATATATAAAATAATACATAATAAATACCATATAATAAATAATATTAATATATTCATAGCATAAAATGTATAATATAATAATATACATATATATATACACTATATACACACATACTATATATATACACATACTATATATATACATATTATATGTATATATATATATAAATACAATGTATATATATATATGTATCCTATTGTGGGTTTTATATCCATCATATCCCATGAATATACCATCCCCATGTCATGCGTGTTCTTAACACCCACATGAACTCAACTTAGTTGTTTTACCTTCTGGAGACCCACCCGTGACGCTGATAATCACCGTCCTCTGCACTCAAGGTCTCAAACTCGATCAGAGCCTCACCGAGGAACGAGGAACATCCCCTGAAAAAGCGGAGTCTTAGTTAACTTAGTAGGCTTACCCAGTAAAGATAGTGGTTAGTAATGGCTAGTAATGGTTAGTAATGGTGACTTAATGGCGACTTTTCATGGGATCTTTTATGGGATTTAGTGGGATATTACCCGGCCTGGTAATTTTTCTAACACTTTGCAAACTGGAAGCTATGGCAGCTATGGCACCTAGACAGAGTTGATGATTTACCTCAAAAATGGTGGATTTCCAGCTCGCAAACTCTTGGTTTATCAAAGGGGGCCATTTTTTTTCTGGGATGATCTACGAAATGGGGATGACTTCACTGGGATATGTAAGCTGATTTTATAACATCCATTTACATATAGCATGTAAGTTATAACTGGGATATGTAAGTTATAACTGGGATATGTTCTAATCATGGAATTAGTTCATCCATTTATAGATGAGATAACCCAATGAAGGGAACCACTTACGATCAATTTGCCTGTTTGCCAAGTTGCAACTTGTGACGGGCAAGGGCTTTGTGGAGACATGGTAGACATGTAAAAGAAAATAGGCAACCCCAAGATCCACTGGTCAGTGAATCATCATTTTCTCCATCGGGGTTGCCATTTTATGGATTTATGGGATATACAGTATATACACCATATTTGGAAAGCCATGAAAAACCAATGTCCAACTGGTTGGCACAACTTTGTGGACCATTGTTTTTGGCGCAACTTCGCAACTTATTGTTGGTCAGGGTTTTACTGATTACATTTTTGCAGGTGCAAAAAAATGCGGGTGTAAACGTTGAAACGAGTTTCAAGCCCCAGAAGTTCTGGTGAAACAGTGGCTGATTCCCTGCTTGACCATGGTGGTAAAACCGGTATCAGGGTCCAACACCCCACTGTTTACATAATCAAGAGGCACCACCACTGATAGTTTAGGACAACCCTAGTTATTTGGTTGTAAAAGCAGTTGAGGCGGTGCCCAGCTTAGAGTTGGTTTGTAACCCCCATGAAGTGTAGATTTTTAAGATTATTTAGTAACCCCAGGTTAAACAATTAGCAACATGCAAGCGGCGACCTGGGCCCCCCAAATCCAGGTGAGAATCCCGCCTGAGCTAAACGGTGCAGCTGTTCTTCATGGCTCCTGGCTGTTCTTTTGGCAGCTGGAATCGCCAGGTGGAGAATTTACTGGAGATTTATCTGTCAATCTGTCCGTCTGTCCATTTACTCATCCATCTATCCATACATGTATCTATCCCACCAAACCTGAAGGAAAAAATATGTATGTATATTTATATATGGAATGATTCTGATACATTGTACTTGGAGTGCCAACAATGATGCTCAAGAGACGAATGCACAGTAACATTCAGTGCATCTGAAAAGAGAACCCATGATTGGACACCCAAAAATATACAAGATCAAGGACTGAAGGGTTTCCTCACCATCAAAGAAACCTATTGAAAATTGAACCAGATTTCGCTAATGATGGGATCATTGCAGACATTCAACTCAACATTTCTCACGCTGCGGAACCTGGTTGGGTGCCGGCAGATGAACGGCTCAGCACCAAACATTCCAAAGATTTCTGGGTTCTAACTTCTGCTGACACCCAATCTCTAAGTAGAATCGGATCGATTACGAAAGAGCTACAGGCCATTGTTCTACTCTGTGTGTGGGTTGATATCCCATCATGGCTTTGTCTCAAAACCGGATGTATCACACAGTAATCCCATGGTTGATCATAATCTTTCCCAGAGGACTTGCCATAAATCAAAGGTGCCCCAGGGCCCCAAGAAACCAACAACGCACTCTTACATCCCAATCAACCCTAATAGCCCCCATGTACATTTCATAATTCATATACTCCCTAAGCATACACCCCATGTAAACTCTACAAAGACTTCATACGTGAAAGCACCCTACCCAACAAAATAGCTAGGATTTAAGGATGTTTATTCCCGCAGTGTGGTAATTTGGGGGTTTCCGATTCGTCATGGAGGTACCCCCACCCAGTCATCCATTGATGGATTTTCCATAAACCATCCAGCGTGCTATTGGGGTACCATGAAAACCTCAGGTTTTGACCCATCCCCTGGGCATCCTGAGGTACTCCGCAGCATGGCTGTAGGCGTCGGTGAGGAGACTTTGTGTCTTCTCGTCGATCTCATGTTTCGCCTGGATCAGCCGTGGGGATTCATGGCGACTTGGAGAGCATCAGTTTGTTGACGACATTGAAATAGCAATCTTATCACAATGGCCATTCCAGGAACCTAAATTGCCATTGATCTTAGTTGGTACAGTACCTCCTCCATTTTAGGATCCTGAAATTCCCATTGATCTCAGTTGGTTGCATTCCCAATTTTAGTGTACCATTCCCAACATTGCCAACCTTAGATACCAACAATGCACAAACATGGATTGCTTTCTATCTTCGGTGAGTGAATATATTTCCATTGAATATCTCATTCAATTCAATACATTGCCAATCTTAGATACCCTGCAAAAAACTAAATTCTTTGCTGGTTAGTAGATCTTCCTATTGATACCAAAAGACTAAAAGATTAAAGTACCCATGTAAGATTGACCTAGAATATCCCCATTGAATATCTCAGTCAATCCAATATCCCACACCATTTTTTTTTGCCCCAAACACTGCCTTGAAAAAAGGCAGAAAACTAGGAGACTCAGGAGGACCTACCAGTACTGCATGGGAGCTTGCCAACCTGGGATCAACCAAAAAACCCAATGGATGGGGTTAAAAGAACATACATCTGAACATATGTTCCATGAATACACACACATATATATATCTATCTACTTGTATATATATGTATATATATATGTATATATATATACAAATATGTATATATATACAAATATGTATATATATATATATGTAAATATGTATATATATATATATATATACATATTCAAACTATACCACATAATATATAAATCTATTTTACATTACATATAATGCATTCACTACCTATAGGCACCGAGCTCCGCTCTCGCCATCTGCATCAAACTTCCATGCGCTTCTGAGCCAGGAAGATCGGAGGCAGCACGGTATTACTTCCGGAGTCCTGGTCATCTGATGTCATTCACTTTCCGAGCCTTCACAGTTCTCACTATCCAATGATTCGAAACTTGGGCATATTTTATACATCATATATAACCCAAAAAAGAATTGGGATATATAACTCACAATCTATCTTACGTATATAACATGATTAAAACCAATAAAGATATTAGTAACCCACAGATTCCGATGCTCCAACCATTCCAACCATTCCATCCATCACCGCCTGGTCGGAGAGTACGGCATACTCATCCACGTCCAAGGATAAGAGACCGGACTGCGGGGGAACCCAACGTGGGAAGTGGGGGCATTTCACCAAATCTGGCTGGGTAAAAAAGTGGGGATTGAAGCTGCCTAGGAGCTGAGAAATCGGGATCAAGGTATAGCCCTGTATGTGGAATAATTTAAACACCAGCCCCGTCAATAGCTTTAAACAAAATAGCAGTGATCACTCTTTTCCCACTGGCAAATATTGGAAAGCTCCAACTTTTTGGGTTTCGATTCAAATTTACACGAGCAGTTGGGAATCTTGAAGGCAAGATCAAAATTCGTAATTCTGACATGCACATCGTTTTTGGTCACGGGTATGGACGGAAATCATCACCCCCCGAAATTCTATGGTTCTAGATCGTAAAGATGTTTTTGGGTTTTGTGGGTGCGCTACTACCCCAATGAGTTCACACCCACATACCAATGGACTCACCCAGCTCAGTATTTAATGTGAAACTCATCTTGATATCGAGAAATGCAAATCCATCTCTCGATAAAGAAAAGAACAAAAACATCAATGGTTAGCATACATGAAAAATCACGTTCATGTAAAAACATCACTAGATATCACGTTCATGTAAAAATAGGCTTATAAGTTTCGCCCCGTAGTTCATTATGGGCAACAATCATAATTAATTCTGAGTTTTTGGCAAGAAAAATATTGACATCCCCATATTCCAACCGAGTGTGGATCCGTAAAGATTGATCAGTACCATCTTTTATGATTTTCGAAGAAACATCCTTCTATTTAAAACATCTATTTTATATACAATATATATGTACATAATACATCATAATCCCATCTCGTTATGGATATGATGATATGATCAATATTACTTCTATTATACATCTATCACTTCTATGTATACTATATCTATATATTTTTGGCTACCCCATGACCCCATGGGTCCCATATCCTATCCCATTCACCCAGCATTCTGCTCCTGTTGCTGCGCAGACATCCCAAAGTTCATGACCATCCGCCGCGCCAGACCCGTGGCCTGGAACGCTTAAATTAGGTGGGTGTTGAACAGCCAGAAATGGTGGATTTAAACCTGGTTGGTGGTACAATAACCATCTTGAAAAATATGAGTTCGTCAATGGGAAGGATTATCTGAAGGATTATCTCATATATTGTGGAAAATAGAATGCATGTTTGAAACCACCAACCAGTAAAGAGTCAGACATGGTGATTCAATGAGATCTGAATGGACAAACATATGCACCTAAACATATGAACCATATCATGGAATTTTAATGGGATGAATATCACCAAGAACCTTTTTGGTGTCTCTGAAAATCATGATTTCACGCTCAGAAATGGCTAATTTGATATGACATGTTCACACCCAGTCGAAGCCCCAGAAGTGGTGTCATGGCTGGAAAATCTCGGATAAATATTGGTTTTTGGATGGAAAGATCATCTATAAAGGGGGGATTCTCCGAATGAACACCAGCAAAATTGTGTTTTTTTACAATCAGAAATGGTTAAACTTCTGCTGAGCAGCTGCTGCTAGTGCAGAAAATGGACTGAGTTGGTCTGAATCTTCTTCGAATGGAGCAGAAAATGAAGACTGCGCCAAAAACATGGGGCGTGTACCGACAAATATGGAGATCATCAAACAATGAATCTTGGCTTGTAGAACCCACAAGGCTAGAGTTTAATAACCAAATCTACAGACTTCACAAAAAGACATGGAGTTTATAATTAACAAAAGCGAGACTATAGACAAGCAATAAGTATTTGGATAGAAGTGGGAATAGGAAAAGTATGATGAACAACTACCGTGGTCCAAGGGATTTAAGAAGCTAGACCTCTTGACACAGGTAGGAGCAACGCTACAGCAACAAACATGCGTTTTTTTTCTGCAAAAATCGGCCCGCAAAACTGATTCAAAACCCCTGATTTCATACATGGTGATTTAAGCGTCAGTTCATAGCGATGGCTTTGGCACATTTTTGGTTTGTGGTGTGTGCTGAGGCGCAACCATCTTGGGATGAAGATTGTGAGTTTGAAGTCATAGTTAATATGAACAATATGGTAAAAAGTGACATGTCTCAGTATGGTTCTATCCTACGCATTAATATGTAATATGGTACTATAGTATGAATTTTATTGTGGTTCTGAAATCGTATGGTTTATGACAAACCTCAGAACAATATATCAATCGTGAGGCAGGACAAGATGTCCGTGCATTTTTTGACCGCAATCAAGGCCAAAACGAAACCATGAGGTTCTATCTGGCTCTCATGTTGCTATGATATGATTTTAATGTTGAATAATTTCTATGGAGAGATGGAACCTATTTAACATCTAGGTTCATCGACTATTTGTATAGTATCTGGGTAAATTATAATATTTCACTAACCTGAATTAAGGCCACCGATCTTCCCTCTGAATCAAGGCCATTTGGGGATGATTTCCCTTATTAACCATGATTCCAGTGAGGGAGAACAGTGAGGTCGTTATAATTTACCCTTTTCATTGCAGCGGAGAGGTAACGGCCTGACAAGTGAGACCGCTCCTGGAGCACGGCCTTCTTGGCTATGCTTTCGAGCTTTCCTAGACTAAGAAATGTTGTCAAATTGAATTCGTTCAGTAGGTTTTTCACGCCAACTCCTCATCTGTTTCATCTTTCTGCGAGCATCCATCGTGTCTTCCAGTCCCCTCTTAGATCAAACAGTAACGCCTTATATTCCTGATCTGTAATGGTCCAGTCAATGTCCGGCAAGGAAGTGAGCGCTTGCCCTTGATGGTCCTTAAGATAGGGTCGCAGTACATCAAACACCCAGTCCTGGTGCGGGTAGGCTGGGCGTTGTGCAAATCCACTGGTGTAAAATTTCGCCCCCTGAACAAACAAGGATTTCACAAGTTTCCTGTCATAGTTTGGCCAGATGCTGGCCGAAAGTAACCCAGTGAACTGCAGATAGAATATTGCAAAGGTCGTCGCAAACTCTGAAAACTTGACATTGTACGCCTGCACATCCTGGGTGTTCCGAAAGGGAACCAAGATCTCAATACCCCTGCGGTTCTGTCTCCTGAGTGGAAGAAAGGTCCCTGAAAAACGCATAAATGACAAAGCCAATTCGTACCATGAAATACCGATTGTCAAGTGTTCGCTATCACCCTCGGTTTTGGGCCAGCGAAATTGCAACATCCAGTTTAACATGTGTTGGCCAAGTCTAGGGCCCCAGGCTGTGTGCTGGGTCCAGTTAAGTTGTATTACAGAAGGTGTCCATGGGTCTGCAATACAGTGCTGTTTCAGGATTTCCCATTGAGGCCGGTGAAGCGGCTCAAGTCCTTCTTCATTTTTTGTCGCCTGCTGCAGTTGTGCCATGCGCTTTTGAGCTGCCAAATGATAGGAAAAAAGGTTCTTGAGGTGTCTCTGCTGCTCCAATTGGTTTTGGCATGCCTCTTCCAGGGTAGCCACGACTCCAGGAAGGAGGTTGGCGCAGGTGTGAATGGCGCTATCGTTAGCAAGCTTATTCCCCAGGTGATGGTAAACTTGTAGGGGGGCCAAACCATTCAAGTTATCTACATGTGCCTTTATCTTATGGAAGCATCGGGTCCCCAAGTGCCAAACTTTCCACAAACGCAAGAGCAGGTCGTAGTGTGGGGCAGTTGCCAACTCAACTGCATCTGTGGCGCTGGCTACATGCTGCAAAAGGTGGAGGGTCGTTGATGAATCTGAGTATATGTTGGTATGGCAGTATCGCTCAACCAGCACTACTATTGCAAAGAGTTCTGCACGGAGTATATCTTGCAAACCAGGTAATCTACCCATGGTGAAGACTTTCAGTGTCTGTGGCATATCACCCGTGTCCTGATATGTCTTTACCTGCAAGCATCGAGTAGCATCAGAGTCTGCGCAATCCAACACTGCTGCAAAAGCTGCATACCTATACTCAGGTAGAGTGGGATGAAAACAAGAACCGTCAGTGTAAAAGGTAATCATCTGTCCACATTGATCCAAGGTTTGGAGTTGTACATGCAAGTCTTGGCATATTTCGGGTTCAACCTGATGCCATTGCGTTGTCATGGAACACTCTCGGTATTCATGGCAAAACACCACGGGCAATTCTCCCACACAAGCGCCAGTGTTTTCAATCCATGCAAAAGTATCTTCATAAGGCTCTCGTAGGTCCTGAAGGGCCTGGCACGTGGTAGCTCTATGCTCCCTAGTGTCAAGGTACCCACAATGTGGGCAGTGTGGGTCAACCTGATCATCCCAGGAGGCCTGCTGCACACGTGTTTGGAATGCCCCCGAAATTTCATTCAGCAGTTTGGTCTGCTGGGCTGCAGTGAACTTACGCAAAACCTGTATAGTGGATAGCCTACTTATAGGAGGTAAACCTCTAAGTGCTTTTCTATCCGTGTGAGTCAGGATTTGCTCTTGCCATTGCATTTGGCACAATTTCAGGAGTGTACTTTGTCCTACCTCCAGAAACGGCACCTGGATAAATGCATTGATAACAAGTTGTCCCTGGGCACCAAGTTGCCATCCAAATTTCCCTAAGTGGTATTTGAGCACACCAGCAGGTCCTTTGCATTCATGTGATAAACCACTATGTGTTGCTACTAGGCGAAAAAACCTGGACTTTTCAGCGTCATTGGCACGGGTGAGAAATCTCCTGGCTGCCATGAGGATCCGCTGCATAATCACAAGTTGTGGGTCCAGCAGGTTTGGGGTACAGTGGATGGCAATGGCAGAATTACGGCTGATGCTAGGCCCTAGCAACGCATTTGCTACGGCTGTCCTCAGAGCATCCATGTGTTGGGTTCCAACTGGCACTAATTCCATTCCATACATGGCAACAGGGTAAATACCAGCGGATACCAATCTAGTTTTGGATGGTAAGGGTTCAGTCTGTCTTTCAAGTCGTTGAAGGCGAATTTTGGCTTTATGGAGTCTATCCCTCAGTTTACCCAGTCTAGCATTACCCCGATAAGTCAACTGAGCCCCAAGGTCCATTGCATTAAGCATTTCAGGAACATGTTCCAGGGGTGCCTCTTTTTTGACAGCTGATTTAAGCATGGGCAAATGGTGCTTGTGGGTGCTCCACAACCAAGATTTCTTCCAATCAATGATCATGTTGAGATATTCTGCCATCTGTTTGGTCGCCCTAAGGGCCGGTTCATGCTGAGATGCATCCAGGGTGCTCCACCCCCAGTTGTCGGCAAATGCTGAAGGTGTCAAGGATCGTGTGCATGTTTTGACATGATGAATCCATGCATATGCAATGGCTAACATGGCTGTGACGCTCATCGGGTCACCTTCCGGCAGTCCATTGTTGGTGGGACATGGTTGTGAGGAAAGTCCCTGGACACTCCACGTACGTGTGAGGTGGTCTAAGGACCCTTGCCACACCTGTATGACATACTGCGGGATGCCAATGGCTTGCATGATTTTGGCTGCACTGCGTCTACCAATGGTGTTGAAGCATCTTTTGAGGTCCAAGGCAAAACCTGATTGGCATGTCTGTGTTGTGTGTGCCCATTCAAGGAGAAACTGTTGGTTATAAGTAGCATCTGCTGGTCCCCTCCCTGGAAGAAAACCTGTTACCTCTCGGGGCATACAAGTACTTAATTTTTGGAGGAGAACCCTTGTGACAACTTTACTCCAAAGGCGGTAACATTGAGCGAGAACCGTTATGGGTCGGTATTCATGGATTTGTGGCTGGTCAACCTTAGGGACAGGAGTAGTTTTTGCTATCATTAACCAAGAGGGAAAAACCTGCAGGTCTAGCAAGATAGTTTTTAATTGGTCAATAGCTTGGGGTGGAAGGCATTGCAACTCCGCTGCGCTTATTCCATCGATACCCCTGGCACTTTTGGCATTTAAGGACTTTACTGCCTGCTGCCAGACTTCTGTCGCAGAGAAATCCATGTGGAAATCTTGAAGCAGTTGTGGCAGTTGTTGTAACATCTGATGGAATCCAGGTGGGGGATCAAGTCTGTCTGGCGAAACCGTCCAGTATTGGTCCCAATGTTCCTGGAGATGGTTCATGATAGATGTCGGATGTGTGTCCACTGTAGTTTGTCGGATGTCAAAGTGCTCAAGGTCTGGCAGGTCACCATGAACATGAAGGGTCAGGCTGTGCTCATCCCTGTTCAGCAGTGTAGCGGTGGTTTCATGTATGTGGATTACTGCATCCATTCGAAACTTGGAAGCCTCATGGCAGTACGCTAGGAAGGTGCCATCTGGCTGTGGTACACATATGGCCGTATCATTGACATGGTGTTGAATCTCAAACACTCCAGGCTGGCTTGGGTCTCGGATTCTTGCGAAGGCTCGTGCATTTCCTTGGCAGTGAAAGTCAAGTCTACGGCGATATTCCATCTTTTCCTTCCATCTTTGTCTGTCTGTCCACAAGCTTCGGTTGGTGTCATGTTTGGCAAACTGTATCACTAGATCCAACAGAGCTGGGTTGGGTAGACGGACCGGCAGTGGTCCTATCTCTGGGATGTGTTGGGCCCATTTGGTAAAGCATCCATGAAAGGCAGTGCATCTCAGGATGGCCTGCCACAGTCCCCATGCCTGGGCATGCTGCTCCTGAGCCCAGGTGGCTTTGCGCAGCAGAAAAAGGAGGGCCTGCAGTCTGCGGATCTGTTTCACCTTTGCCTGTGTTCGGTATGTGTGAACTTCCATGTCTGGTTGGTAGTCTCCTGGCCTACCTTGCTTGAAATGGGATTTGACGGGGCGCTGGATTAACTTGGAGGGCTGGCACCTACCCCTAAAGTTCTTGGGCATTCCCTTAGTTTCACCCCATTGGCAACCCTGGTCTTTAACTTGGAACAGCCTATGGGCCATGTCAGCAGCTTGCTCAACCTGCTGCCCCCAAGTAGAGAGATCATGGGGGTCACCTAATTGGTCTGTTAGGTGCTGGTATGCCTTATGAAAATCACCATCATGCATCGGTAGTTTCAAGAAAGTTTCAGGGAGTTTATCCGTCGACCCCGGCCTTAGCCAAGGCAGGGGCGGCGCCTGGGACCACCGCAGGTGTGGAACTTCTCCTTCTTAGCTTTCCAAGGCCACTTGCCAGCCCTTAAAAGCCATCGCTTAAACATTCCCTTGGCATGCTTCATCCTGCAGCCAACAGGCACGCAAGGCGACACATCAATGTCTTCTTTCTCCTTATGGGCGTCCAAGCCTTAAAAGCCATCGCTTAAACATTCCCTTGGCATGCTTCATCCTGCAGCCAACAGGCACCGCAAGGCGACACATCAATGTCTTCTTTCTCCTTATGGGCGCCCAAGCCTGGCCTTTGCCACGTCCTGGGGGTCCAAGCCTGCCGTTTGCCATGCTGCATCCTTCAGCCAACAGGCACCCCAAGGCCACACATCAATGTCTTCTTATGGGCGTCCAAGCCTGCCGTTTGCCAGCCCTTAAACGCTTAAAAACCCTCCAAACGCTTAAAAGCCTTAAAACCCTTACAACCCGTCATGGGGGGTCCAAGCCTGCCGTTTGCCAGGCCTTAAACACAAGGGAAGCTTGGCATGCTTCATCCTGCAGCCAACAGGCACTCCAAGGCCACACATCAATGTCTTCTTATGGGCGTCCAAGCCTGCCGTTTGCCAGCCCTTAAACGCTTAAAAACCCTCCAAACGCTTAAAACTTAAAACCCTTAAAACCCTTACAACCCGTCATGGGGGGTCCAAGCCTGCCGTTTGCCAGGCCTTAAACACAAGGGAACCTTGGCATGCTTCATCCTGCGGCCAACAGGCACTCCAAGGCCACACATCAATGTCTTCTTACAGGCGTCCAAGCCTGCCGTTTGCCAGCCCTTAAACGCTTAAAACCCTTAAAAACCGTCCAAACGCTTAAAACCCTTAGGGGGTCCAAGCCTGCCGTTTGCCAGGCCCGCAAGGCTACACATCAATGGCTTCTTATGGGCGTCGCAGCCTGCCGTTTGCCAGGCCTTAAACATTCCCTTGGCATGCTTCATCTTGCAGCCAACAGGCACCCCAAGGCCACACATCAATGTCTTCTTATGGGCGTCCAAGCCTGCCGTTCGCCAGCCCTTAAACGCTTAAAAACCCTCCAAACGCTTAAAAGCCTTAAAACCCTTACAACCCGTCATGGGGGGTCCAAGCCTGCCGTTTGCCAGGCCTTAAACACAAGGGAACCTTGGCATGCTTCATCCTGCAGCCAACAGGCACTCCAAGGCCACACATCAATGTCTTCTTATGGGCGTCCAAGCCTGCCGGTTGCCAGCCCTTAAACGCTTAAAAACCCTCCAAACGCTTAAAACCCTTAAAACCCTTACAACCCGTCATGGGGGGTCCAAGCCTGCCGTTTGCCAGGCCTTAAACACGAAGGAGGGGTCGGCGGCACCCGGGCGCTAGCCCATTTTATAACTCTGGATATATGCATCTTCTGTATTTATGGCCAGGTCAAAGATGACCACCCTGTGGCAGTCGAAGTGTTCTTCTTCCAAAACTTGGATGTTGGTCACCCAGCTGGCACAAAGCGGTGACAGTATAGCATTATCCGGAGTGGTGACTCCTCTGCAGGTGGGTGACATGGCTGTCCCTGCCATGCTGAGAACAGTTTTGAGCTGATGTTCTCTTTCCGCCATATTTGCCACGCTCTCACTAGAAGGCATCTTAATAGAAGCGACCCTCTCAGTGACCCGCTCTGCCTGGTCCGCAACTGAGTCCTGTTTGCTCCCATAATGATCCTTCAGATTCACCGAGGTTGGGCGTTTGCGGAGTTCTCCAGCTTTGGATTTTGCAGATACAGTAATATGGTTGATTGTTGGTTATTGTTGGCCATATATTGTTCCATTATACTAGCATTATCCCATAGTATGGCTGGTTTATCCCATAGTATAGTAAATATATTAAACCACCAACCAGTATATACAGTATAATATATATATATGCGTATCATCGTTACACTTCATCCATAATGTAAATAATGTAAATCATACATATACAGTAATATGGTTGATTGTTGGTTATTGTTGGCCATATATTGTTCCATTATACTAGCATTATCCCATAGTATGGCTGGTTTATCCCATAGTATAGTAAATATATTAAACCACCAACCAGTATATACAGTATAATATATATATATATGCGTATCATCGTTACACTTCATCCATAATGTAAATAATGTAAATCATACAGTCCCATGGTGTGGGCATCGCACCCAGCGCGCAAAAAGAGCGCCTGCCGCAGATCCGAAGTGCATCCAGCGGTGACGTTCTCGGGCCCAAAGATCAGCTCCTGACCGTGGAGACGGTACCATGCATAGGGATGTACCCGGCCTGGTAAACATACAAAAAGCTATTGACAATGGCCATTGATAGTTGATTTTCCCGTTCAACATGGTGATTTTCCATAGTTGTGTACACGTTTACCAGAGGGTAATACGGATATAATGGTGATATAATGGGACAATAAGAATCAAGATATGGTCACTGGCCATCTCAGGAACCTAAATTGGAGGTACCTACCATATATAAGGCCTATATTTATAAGGCCTATGTAAGGCCTAAATTTCAGGGAATATCACCACAAAATATGGCCAGAAATATGGTCCTAACGTACCTCCATAAATTGGTTGCTTTTTTTATTCCCATATGGTAATCATCTCCAAAATCAACTAGTTCGAGGATTTTTCCCAGCTAGAAACTTCCCTTTATATATAGAGGGATTTTCCAAAGCCACGATGACCCTCGGTACGTGGAGGGTTTGAAACACCTGACCACCTGCGATAACCTTGGGTTAGATCCATTCGTGCAACACTTTGTGGACCCTTACTTTGAAGGACCCCAAAATTGGAGGGTTAAGTATGAAAAATCGTGTCATTTGGGTTCCAGGCTGATAAAATATGGCTATGGCTAAGAATCTAAGACCCCGAAAACCGTGAGCCAGCCAATTTTATCAGTACCTAACTCTGACACACTCAGTTGATGAGTTGGTAAAGAACAAATCCATCTGGACTCACGTATCCACCTTTTTTGTATATTATTATCATTTCCGGTTGATCACAATTCTGCGGCCGAGCCTCCTTTCGTATTTTAAACTGGGCTCTGTGGAGCTGATGCTGTGATAGGTTGGTACTTCCAAGCCGATCATTGGTAAATTAATCGACAAAGGGTGGCAGTAATGGCCAACTATGTCAGGGAGAAATTATGAGATGTTGGTTGCATGATAATTCTTTCAAATAACCACACATCATGATAATGGGCATTTGCCATATTTGAGAAATTGATGTGTGTTTTTTTTTCCGGCATTTTCCCGTTCATATTCTTTCAAATAACCACACTTTCCCCCAGGAACTTTCAATCCAGCGCCGTTAGACAGCATTAACCACCCCCAACAACCTTAAAGCCCGTTAAGGCCAAACAATTAACATACAACCCTATATATTCACGGGTCAGTATCCACATGGAGACTTCCAAAAATTGGGGTACCCCTAAATCATCCAAATTTTACTAGGATTTTTACATGAAATAAACCATCCAGCTATTGGGGTACCACCATTTCCGGACACCTCCATTATACACCATGATAATGCAATATTATAACCTCACATTAAACCCGAAAACAATATTACCCTTTACATTTTACTGTACATCTCCACATTTTTGGGTCACCACTATATTAACACCATATAACATCATAACATCATGGGTCAATCTCCACATTTTTTTGCACAGATCACCACTGATTTGTAGCACAGGCCTCCGCAGCCTTGCCACCCATCAGCACACGCAAACGTGCCTGGCACGAGGTGATCGGGGACAATGTTGACCCCCCAAGTATGAATAGGTTTACAAACCATGGAACATGTATATATATATATATATTATATGATATGCATATATACACACATACATACATCTATTGGACATCATCCAAAACTGCGTTTTTAAGTTAGGGACGACCTTTTTTATATGCAAAGGTGAAGGAAAAAACCATGGGCAACATGGGAGTTTCACCTACATTCACCTTCTGATGAATGTTGACCCCCAGTTGATTTAAAACATTCAAACATGAATCATCATAAAGATATTGGAAAGCCCTCCTATTGAGGGACTTACAGTTTTTTAATCAAGGCTTACCACTTTTTTCAGGGGGAACTGGAATGATCAATGATCTTGATTTTTTTGGGACTCCCCTTATTAGATCTTACTAGTATACATTCCAACTAATTAAATCCAGTGTTGCATGCCTCATCTTGAATAGCTATGTCAAACCGTCTGTATGCTAAATTTGGGTTGATTGCGATGCAGAAACGAGTGCATATATTGAACATACCTGAATATATAATATATATATATGTATTGATTGAATAGATTTGAATATATGAAAGTTGAGCATGGATATGAAACGAATCACCTGTGTCCTCTACACTCGAGAGTCGCTGCAAATCATGACTGCCGCAGGTCGGTGGAACGGATTCTCTCGTGGAATTTTGGTCCACTTCTCTCGGCACAGCAACGAACTTCGTCATTCCAAAGGAAGGTCAACAGCAGCTGGGAAGAGCTGCGCTGCTCAGCACCTGCCTGGTGGAGAAATCCATCCAAGGCTGATGGTGCCCCCAGTCCCATGAGTACTAGACATGATTGAAAAGCATCTGGATGACATCAGCAAATCAGTGGCTAAACTGATATGCGCCAGCCCCACAGAGTTGAAGGGCTTGGAAGATCTACATATACAAAAAAAACATGAACATTGACAGGACGATTAGATGTTGCAAAATTTCCTTGGCAGGTTGTATACAGTTGTCCTTCCCCCAACTTGGAACTTTGAGAAAGAATCAGATCCACATGCATTTCTGCACTACTCAAAGGCCTCCGAAATGGTAATGATGGTTTCCATAAATGGGGGTACCCCTAAATCATCAATTTTAATAGGATTTTCCCTTATAAATCATCCAGCAATTGGGTTGTCTCATTAATGGAACCCCCCCATATAGCGGCGCTTCGTTTTCCAAGGTCGAGGTGAGCTCAACTCCATAAATCGTCGAATGGGACCATCAGGTTAAATATGGCCGGGCATGTGAATCGTAGAACATGCTTTGTACCCGACCTGGTAAACATACAAAAAACTATGGAAAGATCCACCGTTTTTAATGGGTAAATCCACTATTTCTATGGCCATTTTCAATAGCTTTTTGTATGTTTACCAGAGGGTAACCATAGACACCATATGGTTATTATACTGTTAATATACTGTTAATAATGGTTACTGTAATAACTATTAATGGTTATTATATGGTTGATGGTTAATAATAACCTGGTTGGTGGTTTCAACCAACCCATCTGAAAAATGATGGAGTGAAAGTCAGTTGGGATGATGACATTCCCAATATGATGGAAAATAAAATTCATGTTCCAAACCACCAACCAGGTTTTGTCTTCATTGAATCCCCATTTCTAGTGATTACATCCTAAGTTTTGCTCCTGAAATCCACGCGAACAATAATGTGAGACCAGTACTTATAATCCTATGCCTATGAATTTGTTGCTTAAACCTAACTTGGTTTGTGTTTTAAAAGATGGGCGGACCACACATTTGATGTTAGATCAAGTTGCTCATCATATTCAGACAAACCCACATTTTGGGCGGGCAAGAAAAGAGGAATTCGCTTCAGCTGGCACCATAAATCAACAAACACCCTACTCTAATCGAATATGGTTTGCTGGTGGATTTCCCTGCTATAAACATTGGGGATTTCCCTGCCATGTTTGATCGCCGAAATTCACCGAAGGGTAAATCCTCTTCATCCCCCATTAAACCCCGTTGAAGCCTGGTAACTCCCATATAGTATGGCTATATATACATAAATATATATATATATATATATATATAAATATATATATATATATCCCTATGAATCACCATCTTCCTATGGTAATCCATTGAATATAGCATTAAATATCCCCATTGTTGGTTATCCATTCTTAGGTCATTACATAGTCACACCATGATGAAGCCATGATAATCTTATTATTATTGGTTGTTGTTGTTGGTTAGACACCCATTTAGGTAACATTACGGGCAAACACCTCGATTTGCCCGCGCTTGTCGGCGGCCATCTTCGTATGTGCTGAAAACGTGGTAAAAATGGGAGTTTTTTTTGCACCATGGCTAACTTCATGTTGTATATCGGCACGCACAGCATAGGGACCTGTGCGGGTCTCTTACACATCCACATCATCATCATCATCACCATCATCATCATCATCATCATCAAACCCTTATTGAAGATTTCCAATGCATGTAGAAGTTTAACGGGGTTGGGAGAATTAAACCCTTATTGAAGATCTTCAATGAATGTAGAAGTTTAACGGGGGTGGGAGAAATAAACCCTTATCGATTCAATGAATGTAGAAGTTTAACGGGGGTGGGAGAATTAAACCCTTATTGAAGATCTTCAATGAATGTAGAAGTTTAACGGGGGTGGGAGAATTAAGCCCTTATTGAAGATCTTCAATGAATGTAGAAGTTTAACGGGGGTGGGAGAAATAAACCCTTATTGAGGATCTTCAATGAATGTAGAAGTTTAACGGGGGTGGGAAATTTAAATAGCCTAAATACCCTTGTTGATCTTCCCAATTGAATGTAAAGTCTAACGTTTGATATCCCCAAGTGTACAGCATAGAAGGGGTGTGGGCGAATCGGGGTGTTTGCGCGTAACATTACTAATACGAGTATAATGATCCCATATGAATAATGGATATTCTTGATGTATATTACTAAAAACCCCATAAGATTTATTGTTTTAAACATTAATTAACCATCGGTTGTTAACACCACTAGTCACACTAATCCTATGGGATTTTTACAGAGCCTGCAGCTCAAAGAGGCGTTCGGAGTATTTCTCCCTCTCGGGGATACTCCACCTGAGCCGTTGCGCCAATTGGATCAGTGGACTTTGGCGATGTACCCAGAAATTTCCATGGGAATTTCTATGGTGATTCAACGGGAGGAATCGAGGAATGTATCATGGTTTGGAGGATTCCCATACGGAGATTCTTATTGGAAGAGAATTGGAATGAATAATGAAATATGATGGAATATATTCTCAACAAGTGGAAACAAAACAGCACATTTCAAAGGTTTTGGTGCGATCATATCTGGGTTTCAATGAGGATGTATTGACCAAGGAAACAGCGTAAAATCCTCTAAAACCAAGGTTTTATGAACTTGAAAAGGTTTGGTGGGCTTAATTAGGGCCAATTGCTTTCACTGGGAATTTAGTGCTTGTGACATATCTTACGGAATGATCTATGCAAGTATTTACTGACAAACTAAGCATCGTAATCCCACCAGAAATCAATCTTGTTTGATGCTCGATGAATAGCTATATCCATCATATCCAAACAAATTGGTCGTTGGTGAAATAGCGCTCCCACGGGAGATTATCATCATCAATATCAATTTTCCAGTTTTTCTGGCTGGATTTGTTGAAGATCTAATCCCCATTCAAAACTACAGGAACAGCACGAATCACAAGGCTTGTGCTGGCATGTGCTGGCCCTGCAAGACATCCTACAGGGCGGTTTCCAGTGATGTTTGCTGGCTTCTAATCCCCATGAACTAGATATATCTACCATTAAACCTGGGGCACCACCTCGCAAGGAACACAGATTTTCATGTTCACCACGACTACTACGATACCATCATTTGTCGCGGATGGCACCTCGAATTAATCAATTTTCCAATGATCTTTCCCATTTCAACTAGACTTTCGCCAATTCTCCTAGTTCAACCATCTCTGCTGGAGAAATCCGCAGCTTTTAGTTGCATTTTAGTTGGATACGCTGAAAAGCTGGAACCATAAAGAATGCTCCCATGCCATGACACTGGCAAAATGGATCAACATAGCTATTCTATGTTCAATCCCAAATTTTTCAGGCTTGTCATGGCTTAACTACAATCTTTGGGGGGTTTGCCAGGTAAATTACATCCACGAGTTGGCTAGTTACATCCATAGGTTGCCTGGAATAAGAACAAAACTCATTCACCAACCCAACCACAATTTACCGAACTACCATGTCATCGCAATGAGGTCGTTATCACCTAGCAGTTGGCTGAAATAGTTTTGTGACAATTGATCCATTGAGGGGAAATCCAAGAGGTGTTTATATCAATTGGTCTTGGCTCAATCCCAACATATATAGATATATTAATATATATATATATCTGGCTGGTGGTTTGAACCATCTTGAAAAATACTAGTCAATGGGAAGGCTGTATAATATAAATATATGAAAGCACCAACCAGTATATACAGTATAACATAAATCTGGGTAAATTATAATATTTCACTAACCTGAATGGTTCGGCCATTTGGAGATGATTTCCCTTACTAACCATGGTTCCAGGGTTCGGTCGCAGTGAAGTCGTTATAATTTACCCAGATAAATATATGCGTATCATCGTTACACTTCATCCAGAGATTCTTTCGAGGCGACGAAAACTCACCGATTTCACCGAAAGTGTCGGGAATCACTGCAGCCATGCGGCGTCACACCCAAAGCATTGCCACCTGGAAAAACTGGGATCGTCCGGAAGACTTGGAAGTTCACCAGCCAAACATTGGGGGATTTTTCAACCAAAACAAGTGGGGCATTCATGGGATGTTTTAAGGTGAGATTGAATGAAAAACTGGATGGGGTATGTATAGAGTTTTTAATATGATTGGTGATTTACCCTATAAATAATCCTGAAAGTAAACATAGAAATACTCTATGCAGATATACAACCAACAGCATGCTGTAGACTTTATCAGAATAGGGGCTATGAAACCGACCAAAATATGGGGATATACTGATATACAACCAAATGGATATTAACCAACCATACGATATGGGTCATTTTACAATAAACATACAGGGTTGTCCTAAAATTGGGTACGTATTCAAGGGGGCGATGGGCCCCATGATGTATGGAGTTCCTGGGTTTTAAATTTTTAATAAGTTCTACTTGTGGTGGTTTGGGAAACCACCATTGTTGCAATATTTGGAAATCAAGCAATAGTACTTACAGCATTTAATCATACTTGATCATGATTCATCAGTTTAGCCAATCATCAAACAACTGGTGGTACATGGCTTTGGATTTTTGGTGGGCTATGGACGTACATCTCCATTCAGATGGTGTCTTGCCCGATCCCCCTCGTCTCAAGGAGAATTTAGATTGATATTTTCGTTTGCCCTCTGGTAAACTAACACAGCTATTGAACATGGCCATTTATAGTTGATTTACCCACTTAAAAATGTGATTTTCCATAGTTATGTTAGTTTACAAGAGGGTATCTTCCTTATCGAATTTGAACTCAAACCATCTGAATCTTGTGGTTTCGGAGGCGAGGTGATGTTCTTGATATTTATTTTTCAGGTCCTTCAAAATAGCTTTCACATATCCATGAAATACTCTTTTGTGGTCTTCGCACATCTGCCAAACTTGGGTCCAAAAATGTATCCAATTTGTTTGGGCAACTCATGCCATGGATAGTAGGAAGGAATGAAATTGGTTTATAACAAATCCCAAACATAAATTCGGTTTACAATACCCTATCATCAGTTATCTTTGACTCACCCAGATTATAACTGATGTCAGAATGACGTTATCATAATTATCGAGTAGAAATTACCCAGTATTGAAACCCAGCAGAAAAAACATCAGTTATCATTACCATTGACATTCGATAACTGATATGAGTGTTAATGTCAAAATCAGTGATCAATATCAGCTATCATTCAGTTATCAATATCAGTGTCAAGAGCAACCCAGTTTTTTGCTGTGCCACTGCCTCCCTCAGACCCCTGAGGAGCCCAGACGTGGCATGATGGTAGCCTTGTGCACAGGGTCCTCAGCGATTTTCTGACAAATTCAAGATGCGCCAAGAAAAAACTGACACAGAGTGCCCCAGTTCGTTAGCTAAGTTGGTGCGAATAAGTCCAATTTTCACTATGGTTTTGTTGGTGATATATCGAACTAGTTAATGGGATTACAACCATTCATCGGCATTCTAGGGCTAATCGGCTCCTTAATTGATGAAATCCATAGCTCAGGCTTAATCCGGTTAATATTCTTCCCCCCAAAAATAGATGGTTTACACCGGGAAAATCACACGCTCAAGCTTGCAGTTCTATTGTGGTAAACCCAAATCCGCTAACTTTCCATTGGAGGATGATTTTTTATCGCCCAAAGATGGTATGATTGGGGTCTATGGCATTGGACTTACCACATTAAACCCATAAACATTGGATTTAACAGTTTGCTTGGGAAACTAAAATAACTATAAAAACGGTTAATTTATAAGTGGTTTACCTATTAAACAATTGTGATTTTCAATAGACATGTTCAATTGCCAGAAGGTATCTCCCAGTAAATTCCATTAGATTCCGTGAATTCCTAGTAAGTCACCATAAAAACCATATAATCCTATTAAAACTGGTGATTTTCCATACGGTACCAAATCTTAAACATCCATCAGCTACCAGAATGACTTGACGGATGCCCATGGCTGGTGCGCTTCCTGCCGCTTCTGCAAACAAAGGCAGATTTGGTTAAAGTCCGTATTCAAATATAGTGTGTATACATATGTGTGTGTATATGTAAATGTAAATGTATATGTACATGTATATGTACATGTATATGTATATGTATATGTGTATGTGTATATGTATCTGTAAATGTAAATGTAAATGTATATGAATATATGTATACGTAAATGTATATGTATATGTAAATGTGTATGTGAATGTATATGTAAATATAAATGTACATGTAAATGTATATGTAACTGTAGGTGTGGACATATGTGGATATGTAAATGTAAATGTAAATGTGGATGTATGTGTATATGTAAATGTATATGTATATATCTGTATATTTAAATGTATATGTATGTATATATAAATGTAAATGTACATGTGGAGATGAATGTATATGTAAATGTAAATGTACATGTGGATGTATGTGTATATGTATATGTAAATGTCTATGTATACGTATATGTAAATGTAACTGTATATATATATATGTAAATGTAAATGTATATGTAAAAATATATATATGTATATGTATATGTAAATGTATATGTAAATGTATATGTAAATGTAAATGTAAATGTGGACATATGTGTAAAAAGTAAATGTAAATGTAAATGTGGATGTATGTGTATATGTACATGTATATGTAAATGTAAATGTACATGTGGATATGAGTGTATATGTACATGTAAATGTAAATGTGGATGTATGTGTATATGTATATGTAAATGTCTATGTAACGTATATGTAAATGTATATGTATATGTAAATGTCTATGTAAGTGTTGATGTATGTGTATATGTTGATGTATATTGTGATGTAAATGTATATGTTGTATACGTTGCAAATGTATATGTTGTAAATGTATATGTATATGTGTATGTGTATATGTATCTGTAAATGTAAACGCATATGTATAACGTATATGTAAATTTGTATGTAAATGTAAATGTATATGTGTATGTGTATATGCACCTGTATATGTATATGTACCGATATATGTATATGTATACTATATGAAAATCTAATTGTATATGTAAATCTGTATGTATATGTAAATGTATATGTATATGTAAATGTGTGTATATGTGTATGTAATGTAAATGTATATGTATGTATATGTATGCATGTATATGTATGCATGTATATGTACATGTATATGTAAATGTATGTGTATATGAAAATGTATGTGTATATGTAAATGTATGTGTATATGTTTGTATATGTATGTATATGTATATGTAGATGTATATGTATATGTATATGCATGTGTATGTGCATGTGTATATGCAAATGTATTTGTGTAAATGTATATGTATATGTACATGTGCAGTAGCACGCATCAAACACCCTTGTATGTGCTTCATTATCGTTATTTTGAGGTGTTTCAACTTTCATCTTTTTTGCTCGCATCCCTCACTTGGAGCTGAAGTTGGAATGACTCAAGGAGAAGGTTCAAAAACGGACCGAGAAAATGAGGAGTGCCCAAAGCCCCCTTTCATTCCATTTTCCTTTTCCCTCCTGCCGAGAGTTCGATCTCTGGTGAAACAAAGATCGACGGCGAAGAGAGGATCAGGCTGGAGCGTCGACGAACGCTGCATACTGCTTGAAAGCACTATGGACCGATTTGATTGCTCTTGCCCCGCGTTCAAGGAAAGGCAATGTACCCTGTCAAAGTATTTGGGAAGGCTCTTAGCAGCAAACATCGCTGCCAACACTTGAATATCGGCCCCCACGGCAGTCGGGACTGAACATTGTATGGGAGTCCAGCAATCCTTACAAAGTTCTTCACCATTGCATTGAACCACCCGGACGCTCGGATGAAGTCAAACTCCTTGGTCCTCAGCAGGTCTGTCAAAGGTTCATACTGTTTTGTTTTGCGATTGTAGTGGTATCCCAATTGTCCAGTTTTCCATTGGAAGTGCGCAAGAACCTGGTAGCTGGATAGCCACATAGGTATGGCATCAGCTTCCTGAGTGAGGTCCATGAGCCATGAATGAATCACCTGGAACCCATCTCCTAGTGGTATTGGGTCAATGCTTATGATTTCCGTCATTGCTGGGATGCATGGCCCGACAAGTTCCCAAGCGTCCGCTTCTCTTGATCTTGTGGTTTTTTTCTGCTACAACCCTCTTACCTATGTCGACAAACATGGTATGCAAGGCTCGGCATGCTGCATATCTGAGTGCTGTTTTGTGCTTCAGTTTAACGTGGGCAACGAGCACCGCTTGGGGCAGCAGTTCAAAAGCCTCGGGCGCGGTCTCATCCGCAGCATCATTTCCTCTGGCAGCCCATGCGTCCACCAGATGGGAGAATTGTGTCTCTTCTTGATGTGATGTCACCTTGAGAACTTTCTGGAAAAGGTTTTTATGGCAACATACTTGCATGAGAGAAAACAAGTTCGACCACAAGTCACGATCCTTCTGCTTCGGAGATGGCTGTGTGCTGTGTCTCTCTGCATATTGTTGGATGCGGTCGAACACCACTTGACAGTCAGTCCAAATGTATAGAACGGTTTGTTAAACGCAAGGGCAGCTTTGCACGCAGAAATTGCAGCAGTGAGTTCCCCCCTCAGCACTGTTTGCAGTAACCCTGGGAGTCCTCCTGCTGCCAACGGTTCAAATTCGTGATCAGCAAAAGTGGCTACGCAAACTGACCATGTAACCAGCCTCAATGTTTTCTGGTTTGGGGAATGCCTGCTCCCGTCCGTAAAACAGTGAAGGACATCAGGCACGTTTGATATGTGTTCAAATTGTCCCGAGGTATCGGGTATGGACAGCAGTGTTTGCTGAAAGGTTTTGTCTTCTGCTGTTTCGACGAACCATCCATGAAGGTACGTACATTGGGGTTGTTGCATGATAAAGTTACGGTACTGTGGCTGCATTTGGTTCCTGTCTTCGGCAGTGTGTTGACATTCCCGTGTGCGATGGTAAACGCTGTCTTGCTGTTCACACCATGGACACTGTTTGGAAACGAACTTCCCCCTTGTGGACTGTTTGTCCCTCGTGTAGAAGGACCCATTCATGGCTACCCTCAGCAAGGCCAAGTCAGAAATGGAAAAAGTTGGGAACGTATGTGTACTGCAGGCGACGTCTACATCCCCTAGCCCTCCAAATTCGGCTCGTGTTGTCATGGAGTGGCCTACTGTGGCAGCCCAAGCATGCTAAAACCCTGGTGGTCAGTGATAAATCCATTTCCTTCCCACCTCCAGTTCTGTGCGTGGAGTCTGGCAAGGAAGACTCCCGATGGCCCAGAGACATACCTGTGCGGTGGGTCAAGGCTGAGGTGATCTAACACTGCAAAGGCAACGGTTGTTTGTGCGTACTGTCTGAACTGCATAATGGTTGTATGAATGGCATAGAACCAAGGATCATGGCGGGGTTCTGTGAACAACCCAAACTGGATGACGGAGGAAGACCCATGCTTTTCCCACTTCATTGCGTTCATGGCGGCAGCTCTCATGGTGGTGAAATGATCCACTCCTACATCCACGGCAGCGATTCCATGGAGGCATCTTTGCCAGGCAACGGTGTACAGAACCCTGAGTTTATAGTGGACTGGTGCCTTGCTTCTACTCAGCCACCCCCACAGCGGTTTACTGTTAGCTATCCTGGCCCTTAATGGGTAGTTGGAACCCCTCTTACTGTAGTTCAGGTGTTCCCCCAAATTCTTGCCTTGGAGAAGCACAGTATGCGATTGGTCTTTGAGTGTTTTGCGATTTTGCGACTGCTATTGTTTGATGCCCAGAAATAGATAGGTGTTTGGCTTGTCCAAGTTGATATCGAGTGCGCTGGCGAATGCGTCCATGGCTTGCAATGCTTCACATGTGGCTGTGGCATCTGAGGACTGTGCTTCCCAATTGCCAACGTAGCTCACCACTGTCAAAGGGCTCGTTTTCTTGGTGACAATTGCATGCATAGCACAATTGATCAGGACCATTGACAGTACACTCAATGGTTCCCCGTGTGGCAGGGAGCAGCATCCTTGGACCATGAAGCGTCGCACAAGAGTAAACTACTACGTGTCTTGGCAAGGTGTTGAAACATTTGCAAGCATCTGTGACTGTCCCTGACCATGCATAGTTGAAATAGTGAGCATGCTCAACCTGCTCTGCGAGGTTTCTCCACACCTGTGTGGTGGACATGTGAGGCATGTTGGTTTTCTTAAGGATCTGTTTGGTACGGATGCAAGCTCACTGATGCAATCTACCAGCTGCTGGACTAGCCCTTGGGGCATGTGCAAGAGGTCTCTCTTGTGAGCTCCGTCAGGGCCGACTGCGCTTTTGTCTGGTTTGGCTTGGACTGCTTTAAGCCA